ATACATGTGATTATGTAAACATGTACGTGCTTGTGTTCGACTTCCACTTGGTTTCACCATTCCATAACTACACAACAATATTGTAGCAGAAATAAATGGTCAGCTCAAGCCTTATAATGGTAAGTGTACCTGTTGTACTCAATCCCTGTAGTAGCCACGTGGAAAGAGAAAAAGAGAAAGTGTGTGTTGGAAGCGGGACCCAGCCACCAAGGTGGATATCGCAACAGTACTCATTAACAAAGATCTGAAGCCATGACTGTGTGTCTGTAGTCTGTACTGCTGTGCTGTGTGATATACTGATATAGACACGAGAACAACCAGACCCTCTCTCTCTCTCTCTCTGTTAATTACATTACTGCTTGGGAATGAAAACGATAGCGCGGCTTTTGATTCACAGTTGATCAACTGGTACCGTCCTACTAATTTATTTGCAGAGGACGATCAGAGTTTCTGGGGAAGAGAGGAAGCTTCCCTTTTTCAATGGCACGAGTAAGCAGTAGTGTCTTTGATGTCACCTCGCCATCTTCATTCATCATTACTGTGCGATGGAGCTCGTGCGGGAGGGCAGTGGGGAGCTGATGCCAACTCTTAGCTTAAAACCTTCCTCCAATAAAACTTCAACCACTGTCAACCTAACGTAATTAACCCCTAAAAAGAAATATTCATAAATCAATATTCAAGAGTCAAWACTCCTCCAACACTAGAAATACAAATGAGAAGCCAAAATTTAGAAAAAGAAGAGGGAAAGAACTGTTGCGCACATCCCAAGGAAAATGAATGAAAGGCAATAAAAAGAAGAGAGAAAAGTCTCCTCAAATGTCATGTATCTGCCCAAAATTAAATAATATTTTATATGAAAATTAAAAAGAAAAAAAGATTTTAACACTGTTATTGGCTTGGATGGTCGGACCGTTTGACTTAGAAATCGGTCAGAATACCGACAGTCAAAAACTGTTGAATTGGTCAATGATTTACTGATCTAGGCAGCCGTCAAACCATTGACCCATTTGGCTCAGACAGTAGTTTTTGGACCTTTTCTTTTTTTTTTTTCTTTTGTAAATATTATAGTTTGATCGACCCAAAAATCGATGGCTAAAACAGTTTTTATTTCGAATCAGTTTTTAAAACATTGGTATCAAATAAAGTAGAAGATAAAGAAGAGAATATTGTTACATGCAAGTGTGCTCAAGAATATGTAAGGTGTGAGAATCCCATGAATGACATGTCCACCTTATCTATTTAAAAGAGTCCATGCAACAGTATTATTCGATCACTCAAAAATATACTCGATATTATACCGCATTTCATAACAATTTAAGTGGCTGAATTGAAGGGCTTATCGTTTTTGTACATGTTTCAGCGAATAAATTATTAAAGAGGTTTTGAGCTTCACAATGGCTGAGAGCCTAAAACTAAAATTGGGATGAATTGAAATATGTTATTTGTTTAATTTTCAGATGTTGTCACTACTCACTAGCTATAATAACACATGCTGTTTCTATTTAATATAAGGGCTCCGAGGGTTTACCTAATGATTGTATTAAAAAAACAAAAATTTTGGTTCAATTGCTTTGGAGAATTGATGATAGGGGGGATTTGAGTCAAATTGAGTCGAATATCTAGTTATTTGAGCTCAGTTCGATAATAAATTATGAAGTTCGAGCTTAATTCAAGTTCAGTTCAAGTTAAAAGCTCGTAATTTGAGCTTGGCTCAGCTTGAGCTTGATTATGAGCCAAATGTTTTATAAAAATAAAAATATATACATATAAAAAATTAAAAATAATAAAACTAGTTATTATTATATATATTATATAACATTTTATTTTATATATATATATATATATGTAAAAACTTGATTAAGGTCCCGACCTCACGAGCTGAGATTTATTGGGTTCAAGCTCAACTCAAAGCTCAGTCTAGATCGAGTCGAATTGAGCTTTTCACGAGCCGAGCTCTAATAGCTCGTGAAAAGCGTGGGTTGTTAATCGAGCTTTTACATGGCCCCATTTCACAAACCCAAAAGCCGCAATGTGAAGCCCCTCATAAATGAGTCGGGATCTACTTTACTGCTTATGAGTTCAGATTTGCTTGTCACATAGGAGTCTGAATCTGCTCCTCACAAAGCGTTGTTTACACCAACTTCACAGCATGTTCTAGTTGCACATCTCGAACATTTCCTGTACTTGTATTTATTATTCAGGGGAGATGTTCCTAATACACAGTGGAAAGTGGTTGTGAGGTTGGTGTGAGGAGTGCTCTATGAGGAGCAGATCCCAATGCATGACTTCAATATGCTGTGAGGAGCAAAACGAATTCTTTGTTTAAGCCCATTTTGAGAGGGTTGAACTGAATTTTCACCTAGGTTGGTTCAAATGCTTTGAAAATGTTATGGACAAGTTATTCCATCAAGGAGGTTGAAGCAAATTAACATGCCTTAGTGTTTTTGAACCATCATTGACCCGGATGGTTGGACTATTCAACCTAGAAGCCGTTCAGACAACTGATTCCGTTTTACCCTTAACTCGATCCTTGGCAAAACATTGTTGATTTAGTCAACAACCTATTGACCTAGGCAGTTGAACCATCACCAGTTCGACTTGAACAATGATTTTTGGTTGTTTTTTATTTTAATTATTTTTATTCTTTTAAATTGGACAATCAAACTGGTGACCCACAAACCGATGGCCAAAACGGTTGTAGTTCTGAGTTGATTTTTAAAACCTTGGACTGCATGTAGCTTATTAGGGCTGTTCACGGGTCGGGTTGGGTCGATTTACTGAGGTTTTTCCAACCGACCCGACCTGGTCGGGTTACCTGAGATGGAAACCGAAACCGACACAGTGTTAAGCAAAATCGACATGGTCGGTTTGAGTCGGGTTGGGTCAGTTTGGGTCGGTTTCGGCTCTAAGTTCATCCATGCCCCCCATGGCCACCTAGTTTTCTGGAAATATATTTAGAACTGAAATATGTATTTTAGAAATATATATATATATATACAAAAATATACATACAAATATATTAGAATATATATTTTCTGAAAATATATATCTGACATTTTTCATAATATATATTTTTTAGATATAGATATTGGAATATATATTTTCAGATATTTCAGTTTTTAGTTAAGTAGGAACTAAGTCGGTTCGGTTCGGGTCGATTTTGGTTTTCACACAAGCAAACCAAAACCGATCCGAACCATCGGTTTATGAATTTGTACAACCCAAAATCGACCGGTATTAATGAAAACCCAGCCGAATCGGGTTGGGTCGATCCGGGTTTGTAGGTTTAGTTGGATTGGGCCTTCTTATGAACAACCCTACAGCTTATGTTGAATTTAGTAGTATCCATATACACTTGCTATGGCTTATAGGTTGTCTGTGTGGAGTCCACATCAAAAACCAAAATCTACTGTATTTTAGCCCTCCCAAATAGACATTAAGAAAACTTTTTGAGGGTTTCCACCAAACAAAGCTTATAAATTGTTCAGGTGGAGCCCATCTTATAAAGCTAGAAGCCACCATCCGAATGGTTTTCTTTGTCAATGGCGTTTTTTGAGCACCAATGCGAGCTCAGCATCATAGGCATTTAGTAGAAAGATGCCAAAAATAATGTTTTTCATTTTCAGGAACATTTTTTTTAGTATTTTGGTACATAGTGGCGCTGAGTTGTTGAGAAATGTTCAAAACAGATTTTGTCTCAATTTTTTTGGAGAAAATTATACATTTTTTGGACAAAATGTTTGGAAGCCACTGCAGGAGCAGGAGGAAATTTTTCTGATCTCATATGGGTTAATTTAGAGGCTGGAACACTCGCGGGATAGTACAACCCAGTATGACTCGGGTCAGGCCTAAGCCCTCATGTCCTGCCGGGCTTGGGGTTTGAGTCTCGTGGGCCAGCACGACATGACCCATAGTTAATAATATGCATATATAATATATAATAACCTATATATATATATATATATTATACTAATTTGATTAAAATTGTAAGTCTTTCACTTTTATTTTTTTAATTTATTATTTATCTTGTTAATTTATTTTATTATTTTTTATAAAAACATCATGCCGCACACGGTCTGATATGACAATGGGCCCACCTGGGCTCATGCCATGGCACATCCAAACCCGTGTACCAGCCCGGCCAGACCCGCTACAGTGTGGGCGGTCCGCCGGGCGTCAATACACTTGTAGGTGGATTAATGCAGAATTAAAGGCAATCCTGGAACTGGAAGCAGTTTTTTCTCTGTAGATAGTAAATGGGATTCAGTGCTAATGGAGTGGAACTTGGAGCAATTTTGCAGGATTCAGGGCCTCAGGGTCAGGGGGGTAAATCTTGGATATTTTGGACAGAACTGCAGTTGTTTTTTTAAGTTTTAACAAAGTTCAAACCATATTTTCTTTATATTTGACAACAGTTGTTTCAACTTTTTTCAAGTATAGTGCCTGTCATCTGATCCAACAGCCCAATTAATTCAACCAAGAAAATAAATGGGAAAAGGAAGTACAGACTCGCATGAAGTAGGTGATAAGGACCATTTGATTTCGCCAGCCTTTTAGCCTCCTAGAAAATAGAAATTCATCCCTTTCATGGTTGGGTCCAAATTCCTAAGCAGGTTTTGGTAACGACGATGTTCACACTTTTTTACTCTTGCTTATTTTCTAAGGCTTGCATTAATTTAGATTAATATAAATGCTTTAACAGTTTCTTTACTGGTCCAGAATCTAGATTTGAGTGGGGTTTTATTTCACTAAGCCATTAAGGCATTTTAATTAATGGGGTTTTATTTGCTCATTTCTTTGTTATGTGGGTTATTAAAAAAAGCTTATAATTTATTAGTCTTTTCAAAAAAAAAAAAGAGAGAAAAGAAAAAAAAGAAAAGAGAGAGAGAAGAAAAAAAAAAAAAAGAAAGGAAATAGGGTTTCTTTTGTCTTTTCGCTGGATAGTTATCCCACCAAAATACGAGCCCATTTGCCTCCTTTTAATCCCTCAAGTGTCCAGTCCCCGACCTCCACCTCGCCCCACAAGGACTCGCCTTTAACTCTTCCTTTCTCTAAAATTCTGAGCTTTGAGCGATCTCTCTTTCTCTCAACTCTCATTGTCATTGCTTCTCCTCTTAGCACCTCTCAACACCAACGCTTCTTCTTCTTCTTCTTCTTCTTCTCTCTGAAGCTCTGAGATGGCAACAGCAGCAACTGAAGAAGTTTCAGAACCCCTGAAATATAAGGTAACTTACTATCTATTATCGAAATCAATGTCCTCGTTTTCCTCAATCTTTGCTTCTGTAGTGTTTCTATGGTCGTATCCTTTTGTTTTCTAGACCCATATCTTGAAGGTATCCATCCATTGTGAAGGCTGCAAGAGAAAGGTCAAGAAGGTTCTACAGAGCATCGAAGGTACCTGTTATATTTTTGTTTTCAATCTCTCTGTTTTCTTGCTACCTTTTCTACGGTGAGTTCAGGGTTTTTTTTCTTTGCTATATTTGCAGGTGTTTATACCGTAACTATCGATTTGCAGAAACACAAAGTTGTAGTGAATGGAAACATTGACGCTGAGACCCTGATCAAGAAACTGCAGAAAACAGGGAAGCACGCAGAGCTTTGGCCTGAAAAAGCTGAGAAAAAGGATAAGAAATCTGGGAAATCGAAGAAAAACGAGCAGCAAAATGACTCAAAAAGCAATGAAAACGGCAGCCCTGACGGCCAAAAGAAACCAACACCAACAGAGGACGTGGAAGCAAAACCCACGTCCGATAAAACTACTGAAAATGGAGCTACCGTCAAAACTAACGAAGGGGGAAGCGCAACACCCGCCAAAAATGGTGGCGCCGGGCAAAACAAAGAACCGAAGTCCGACGGAAAGAAGCAGGAAAACTCGCAGTCGCAGGCGGTGGACCAGTCTCCGATTCCGTCGGCATCGACGGAAGAAAAGGGCGGTAATTGTGATGGGCCCGCCAAGAAAAGCGGTGGTGGGGAAAATGGTGGCAATGGGGGTAAAAAGAAAAAAAAGAAAGGGCAAAAGGTTAATTTTGTGGAGAACGGAGGTGAAACCGCCGGGGACACACCGACGACCAGCTCTCCGACTCCTACGGCTAGTCCTATTCCTAATGCCGCAGCCGCAGCCGCAGCCATTCCTCCAAGTAATACGGGTCCCACTAATCCGTCGACGAATCTCATCCCTCCACGCCAGCACGTATATTCGTACGTACCATATACTCATATGCCCCAACCTGTATACGCCGTAAGTTACAATACGGCGTATCCGTCGTCTAGCTCTGCTGCGTCTTACTACGTACCCCTGGCACCAGCGCAGTACACGTATACGTATACTGACGCAGGGTATTATGATGCCCCACCACCGCCACCACCATCTGATTCCTTCGAGATGTTTAGCGATGAGAATCCAAATGGATGCATGATCATGTGATGTATTCGTCGAAAATCGACGTGGACATCCACGGTACTTAGGTTATAGTTATATTAGTTTGTATGAGTGGGTTGGGTTTGGTTGGGGGGTAATTTTGTAAAAATGTACATAAAGAAGGAATTGTAGGGACTAGGGACCTGGTTATGTTTGGCCGTTCGGGGCGAATGGGTTTGCACTTTGTAGGGTTGTTCACTTGTTTGGTTAACAGAGGTACTAGCTTTGTACTTTGTGATGCCTAGAACTAGTCGTTTTTGCATTTTCAGGATTTCAAATCTCTCTCTCTCTCATACGTGAGTATGGAGCCAAACAGAAAACTGTGGCATCCCCAGCACATTTGGGTTAATTCAATATCTGTAATTTTCTGTGTATTGACCTAAATGTTTTTACCCCCATACTTGGAACTGGAATCAATGGCCACCGGTTTCTAGATCAATGGTTTGACTGTTCGGTCTAAATGAATGGTCTGTTGTAATTTAAAAAATAAATAATAATAATATATTATTAAAATATGAAAAAGGTTAAAAACCATTGTTTGGGTCGAACTAGTTGATGGTTTGACCACTGTGATTAATCGGTAGCAAACCAAATCAATGGTTTTTGGCAAAAAAAATAGGTTAAGGGTAAAATGGAACTGATTGCCTAGATGATTTCTAGGCTGAATGGTCCAACTGTCTAGGTCAACAATGGTTCAAAAACCATATTACCTCAAGCATGAATACCCCCTAACCCTTGGAGTCTGGAGATATTCTTAATGTGTGACTGCAAGGGATGTGTGTTATGAGATAAGTGTGAAGACAAATTTTGTGAGGAGGAAATCCAAACTTGTTTGTCAAGGACAAAAACAATTGCCACATGGTAAAACTAATTTTGCTGATGTATTAATTGTTTGTTCTAAGGAAAATATAAAAAAAGGTATACACAATGAATCATTGTTGGCCACCTCATAACCCTGACGAGCATCTTTGATGCATTTTGGAAATCAAAATGTATAGGTGTGTTGACGCAATTGCCTCTTTTTTTTTTTTTTTTWWAAAAAAAAAAAACCAGTACACACTCTTATTTGATCATGGCACTTAGCATTGGGAAACTGCAATTGGATTGTAAACTTGTTGCTGAAACTACAAATGTTAGGTTTCAGATTTTGAATGAGTTTATTTTATAAAAATTTTTCTTTCAATTAATGCTGGCTTTGAAACAAATGTTATAGCCTGTCTTCTTTAAGAGATTTTTTAACCACTTTTTATGTTTTTCTTCAAACATGGTGTGTCATTACTAATCATCAAAAAAAATATGGTGTGTTAGTACTTAATAGGGACCGGTTCTGCTACCAACACTGCTTCCAGCATAATTTATAGCCGCACATGTCAAACATGATTGTCATCTCAGAAATACCGTCCCATCAATGACAGGATACAAGTATGAAACATGTTTGGTTATAGATCATTTTGGAAGCTGTATTGATAGCATCTGATTGGTAGTAGATCCAGATTACTAGAGTCCAAATCTGTTGAGATTGGCTTCAGTCAGTGCAAGGCCGATTCGAACACTGTTTAAACAGCCTTTACATCGAACACCGGTTATTTGTATTATATGAATGGCAAGAAAAAAATGTTCAACCAAGAAAGAAAAAGGAAATCAAGTATATTACCTCRATAATTTTTGTTCTCTTTTCCTCATCAGAAAGATACCTAGATGCTGGTAGAAGGATTAATCTCTCTGGTGCACTCTGTTGTAAAGGAATCACTGATAAAAATATGAAAAAGGACCCACTTACTCTTTACCAATGATGATAATTGGTGGCCAATTCCATGACCCGAAAGAGCAGCTCTACACTGATCATCTGATTTTTCTCTGAGCCCATAAATCTACAAGTGGAAAAACCACAGAGGAACCAAGGAGTTTTGTTATTATTGATAAAGTCAAACTAAGGCCTTGATCGAATACCAATTGCACCAATTCCAGCTGCAGAAACAGTACAAAGCAATATGGTGGATCCTTCTAAAGTTAGGCAGAAATTGCAAAGAACAAATCACTTGTGTATTAATAGTAATCTCCACTAGTTCGAGTGGCCAAGCGGTTGGAAGAAAAAAGATGTTATGAGAACAAATGCATGGGATCAATATTGGACATAAAGGAAATGCTAGCTGGGTTGARATTTGTAGGACCACTCAGAAGAGGGAAAAAGATTGATCAAGAGAATCTTACCTACAAAGGAAAATGCATAAGCATATTATTTATTTTCAATCCATCTAATGAGATGTTATCCCCCTCCTTCTGTGCAATTTCTCCCTTGGAATCAGATTCCTTCGGTTCATCCATCTAAACTGCTGACTCTCTCTAATTTTTTAAACTCCTGTCAAACGTCACACTTACTTGTTCCTACTTTATCTAAAATTTTCAATATTTTGTTGATGATCATGGGATCTAAAAGTGTTTTAGCCCTTTTGAAAGATATTTGTATTCCTCCTATTTCAGAGGTTAACTATAATATATGCTGGTCACCATGGTAGTTATTATAACAACGATGGTTCTTGACACAACCAACATATAACAGATCCATAATTTACTTAGATTGAATATGATAGGTTACTGCCTACCTCAGGGTTCCTTCGAGGGGAACCGACCTCCAGAGAGAGAGAGAGAGAAAGAGAGGAAAAGTTCTGTATTCTTATTATATTTGCTTGGTAGAAGGCACAGCTTATATAGCTGTAGCTGGCCGTTACACTGCAGAATTAACAACTCGGTTACGATCATGGAGTTAGTTGCGATTCCTTCGTTCGATGTCTGGAGCTGCTCCGGTGCTGGGCGGGGGTTCTTCTTCCGCGTGTAGACCACTGCGACTGGTGGCCGTGGCCCATTAGCATAGCGGGCTGGGCTTGGGCCAGCCTCTGGGTTCTCATCATCTCCTCCCTCCTTCAGAATGACCTTGGCCTCAAGGTCAAGATTTGGGAACTGAGTTTGCAACTCCCAGTAAGGTTCCCAAGTGACATCTGTTGTAGGTAGCCCCTCCCGCTCTACTAGAGCTTCCTAGATGACCCGCTTCCCTTTCTTAATCCATCTGAAGTCCGTAAGGCTCTTGGGTTCTGTAACTAGGCCTCCGTCATCAGTGAATGTGGGCAATGTTGGGCTGATGATGGACTGGCGGCTGGTGCATTTCTTGAGCAAGGATACATGGAAGACTGGGTGAAGGCGAGAGGAGGGGGGAAGCTCCAGTTTATAAGCAACCAGACCAATTCTTTCCAAAATCTTGTAAGGGCTGAAGTAACGGGGCCCTAATTTCGGCCAGGCCCTCTTTGTCACTGAGACTTGATGGTAGGGTTTCAGCTTCAGGTAAACATATTCCCCGACCTGATACTCTACCTCCAGTTGCTTCTTATCGTAGTTATACTTCATCCTTTGTTGGGCTCGGTTCAGGTTGAACTTAAGCTCCTGTAGTACCTCATCTCTGTTGATCAATTGCGTCTCCACGGCGACCACATTAGTGGACCCTAATTCATATGGCATGATGGCGGGAGGATCCCTTCCGTACACGGCCTTGAAGAGAGTCATGGCTGTTGCCCCTTGGTATGTAGAGTTGTACCAATACTCAGCCCAAGGTAACCACTGTGCCCATTGTCGTGGCCTGTCCCCTGTGAAACACCTCAAATATGTCTCCAAGCACCTATTTACCACCTCAGTTTGGCCATTGGATTGTGGATAACTGGTATAGCTTAGTCCCCTGGAGTTGGAAATACTCCCTCCAAAATTGGCTAAGGAAGGCTGGATCCCGATCCGAAACAATCAACTTGGGAGTTCCATGTAACTTGGCGACATCTCTGAAAAAAACTTCAGCAACCATTGCAGCAGTGTAAGGGTGCGGAAGTGCTGAGAAGTGTGCATACTTGCTCAGGCGATCGATGACCACCATTATAACTGAATACCGGTTGGACTTGGGCAACCCCGTAATGAAGTCCATCGAGATCTCCTCCCATACCTGGGCGGGCATTTTGAGAGGCTGCCTGGGAGTCATACTTCTGCTGCTGACAAATAGTACAGGCAGGCACATATTGTTGGACCCTCATACCAGCCCAATAGTAGTGTGAGGACAGTCGTTTATAAGTTCTTAGAACTCCAGAGTGCTCCMCTTGAGGTGAGTCATGAAATAGTTGTAAGAGAGCAGGAATGTGTTGTGAGGAGGAAGGTAAGACATACCGTCCCTTGTATAGCAGATCTGGGCCCATCATGCTGTATCCTGGTATTGTGGTGGGGTCTTGCTGATAACGGGCCCGTATCTAGGCCAATTCTGGTGCCTCACGAGCTTCCAACTTGATTGCTTCAAATAATGGGTGAATGGGTTGGGAGCTCATCAACTGATGAAACTCAATAACCTTAGAGAGGGCATCTGCTGCCTTGTTGGTGGGCCCAGGTTTGTATTCAATAGATTAGTCATACCCAATAAGCTTTGAGATCCATTTTTGCTGATCTTTTGTGTGGACCCGTTGCTCCAACAAGAACTTGAGACTCCTCTGGTCTGTTCGAATGATGAAATGCCGGCCCAATAAMTAAGTATGCCATTTCTGGACGGCCAAAGCAACATMTGTTACACAGTGTATGCCCTTAGCTCCAATCAGAATGATGTACATTATGGCATTTAATGTAAATGAATAAAGTACATATTTGATTCATGTTATTATGGTGTGTTTCTATGTAATACCCTTAAACT